CCCATGTCCCCTGTCCCTGTCCCTGCAGTGCCGTGCTCATGTCCCCTGTCCCTTGTCCCTGTCCCCGCAGTGCCGTGCCCGTGTCCCCTGTCCCTGTCCCCTGTCCCTGCAGTGCCATGGGGCCAGTTCACGGTGGCATGCCCATGTCCCCTGTCCCTGTCTGCACAGTGCCGCTCCCATGTCCCCTATCTCTGTCCGTGTTCCCGCAGTGCCATGCCCATGTCCCATGTCCCGCTCCGTGTCCCCACAGTGCCTTGGGGCCGGTGTGTGGTTGCTGTCCCCATGTCCCTGTCAGTGCCCCTGCAGTGCTGTCCCATGTCCCTGTCCCCGCAGTGCCAGGCGGCCATTGAGCGCTTGTACCACGTGTCTCCTGTCCCTGTCAGTGTCCCCACAGTGCTGTGCCCATGTCCTATGCCCCTGTCCCATGTCCCTGTCGGTGTCCCCGCAGTGCCAGGCTGCCATCGAGCGCTCGTACCGCGTGGCCAAGGCGCTGGCCGACGACGTCGACTTCTGCTGCTTCCAGTTCACAGATTTTGGGAAGGGGCTGATCAAGAAATGCCGCACGAGCCCCGACGCCTTCATCCAGATCTCCCTGCAGCTGGCACACTTCCGCGTGAGCATGGGGACAGCAGGGGACAGGATGGGGACACGATGGGACAGGGATGGGGACAGCACAGAGACAGAGATGGGGACAGGAGAGGGACAGGACCAGGGATGGGAATGGAGATGGGGACAGGGATGTGGATGGGGACAGGGACGAGATGGGGAAAGCATGGGGATGTTACAGGGACAAGGATGGGGACGGGGATGGGGACAGAGACAGGATGGGGATGGGATGGGACAGGGATAGGGACAGGGCCAGGGATGGGCATAGGGATGGGGACAGGGACAAGGACAGGATTGGGGATGGGGAGAAGGACTGGACGGGGAGAGGGACGGGGACAGGACAGGGACGAGATCAGACAGGACAGGACAGGGTTGGGGACAGGGATGGGATGGGACAGGACAGGACAGGGATGGAGACAGGAATGGGGACAGGGATGGGTATGGGGACAGGATTGTGGATGGGGATGGGATGAGAATGGGGATGGAGACAAGGATGGGATGGGGACAGGATTGGAAGGGGATGGAACAGGACAGGACAGGGATGGGGACAGGGCCAGGTATGGGAACAGCGTCGCCAGTGCGCCCCAGTCCAACCAGTGTCCCCACAGGACAAGGGCTGCTTCTGCCTGACGTATGAGGCGTCCATGACACGGCTGTTCCGCGAGGGACGCACCGAGACCGTGCGCTCCTGCACTGCCGAGGCC